TAAATAAATTTGCGAGTTGCACGATTTTTGCCATCTTTTACTATTCTCATGAGATCAATCAAAATGTATCACTTTTGTTGCTGGTCCCTGTGGAATTTTCATTGTTAGAGCCTAATCTTCTAAACCTATAACAGGAAATTTTGAGTTTTGACAACAAATATGAGGCATTTAAAATATGCCTAAAAAATGCTGAACTTTCACATTACAAAAACTAGATCATTTGTAATGTGAAAGTTTTCAATTGTTTTTTAGGCTTATTTCAAATGCCTCATATTTGTTACCAAAACTCAAAATCGAAATTTCATGCTATAGATTTTGAAGATCGGTCTTTAAAAACAATAGAAATGGCATAGTGACCGATTAAAGAAAGTGATAAATCTTAATAATCTCACGAGAATCGTAAAAAATTGCAAAATATCGCAACGATTATTTGTTTAACAGCTTTATACAATCATATATATTTAAAAAATTGATAGCGCGAGCATAACTGAGGTTGAAAATCGCCGGTCGCTTCAAGTTTTATTTCTGAGAGAACGGTTTATTATACACAAAAAGTGCTGATTAACATTTTTGTTCAGAAATATCAGCAATAATAGCAAAACAGCAATATTTTTTGTTTGACAGATTTTTTTTCTACGGCTTACAGATTCAGTAACTGCATTAAAGAAAATTTACGCTTGTAAGGTTTTACTCCAGTGTGAACTCTCAACTCTCCAAATGTTTTCTCAAACTACTTGTTTCTCTAAACTGCTTAAAACAAATTTCACACTTTAAGGCATTTCTTCACGATGAACTTTGGTATGTTTATCCAAATAAAATTTCTGAGTGAACTGTTTAAAACAAATGTCACACCTGTAAGGCTTTTCTCCAGTATGGAATCTCATATGTCGTTTCAAATCGTATACTCTAATAAACCGCTTAACACAAATTTCACACTCGTAAGGCTTTTTTCCAGTGTGCAATATCATATGTTCTTTCAAATCGTATGCCCTAATAAACTGCTTAAGACAAATTTCACACTCATAAGGCTTTTCTCCAGTGTGCAATATGAGATGTAATTTCAAATCGTATGCCCTAATAAATTGCTTAGAACAAATTTCGCACTTGTAAGGTTTTTCTCCAGTATGAATTTTCTTATGTTTTGTCAAATAAGATGTTCTGGTAAATTTCTTAAAACAAATTACGCACTCGTAAGGCTTTTCTCCAGTGTGCAATATCATATGTACTTTCAAATCGTATGCCCCAATAAATTGCTTAGAACAAATTTCGCACTTGTAAGGTTTTTCTCCAGTGTGAACTTTCTTATGTCTTTTCAAATCGTATACTCTAATATACTGTTTAAAACAAATTTCACACTTGTAAGAAGTTTCTCTAGTGTGCACTGTTTCTATATGTCGTTTTATAGAACTTGCATGGTTAAATCGCTTAAAACAAATTTTACATTGACGAATAGAATTTTTGAACGTTGTTTCTTCAGTGTTTGCACTTTTTTGTGGTTCTGTAGCGAATGCAAGTTCTGTTTTCATGGTTTCCATTTTGTCCTGAGAAAAACCTAAAATTAAAATGAAAGTATAAAAATTTGTTTGTGCAGAAACTGCAGGTTAAAACAAAGAGTAATAAAAATTAATAAGAATAAATAAAACTAAAATATCTTTTAACTAAACTTAAATTTTTTTGATACATTGAACAATTTAAGGGTTGACAATTGCCATTTTTGCTATATATTTTTGAAAATAAATCATTTTTAAGTGTTTAAATCATTGTGATATATGACACACAGAGATTTTAGAGATTCAAATTAAATTAGATTTTACATTTTTTCAACTCAAAATATAAGTGCCAGTGGCAGCATCACAATTTCATCACCGCTTTTTTTTAATCAAAATTAGTATTACATTTATAGGATGGTCTGGAAGAAGACTGAAATTGATAATCTATTTAAAGAAAAACACTTCTTGAGATTATTTTAATACATTATTACTAATAATTGTTTATAAAATTTTAATTTCTAAAGTTTGTACTAAAATATTGAGAAATTGATAATACAATATAACTTTTGTTTCGCTCTTGAAGTCATAAAAGCTTTCTTACACATTATTTTGGCAGTCGTTCTATTTCCATTATTCTACCAAAGAAACGTCTAAGATATCCCTTCTTTCTTGCAATGCTGCTTTTTTATTTTCTGATGTTAATGTTTAGTCCTACATTTAGTGTTTGTTTACTAGCATATTATAAAAAATATAATGACAGAAATAACATTTAAAGTAGTTAAAGTGTAGACGAAAAGACCATCTATGTTAGTCGCCAAGGCATACTACAGAATATTTGTAATTTTTTACAAATTTACAAATAATTTTTTTATATGAAAAAAGAGCTCTCCATTATGGAAACCCAAAAATTTGAATTTTGTTATGCACGCAATATCAATTTTTTAAATAAAATTTGTATTAACTCGAAGTAAAAATTCAATATCTTTTGTTTAGTGTCAAATCGACAAAAAAAATGCGCTTTAACACGTTCATTGCCAACCCATGGGTGTATTTTAAGGTTTTGTAGAGTTGCCACATACACCGTCATGAGTGTAGCGCGGTCATAGTAAACATATGCGATCAATGTAACGCCGGCAATATTCCGAATAGAATAAAATTTGGTATTCATTTTAAATAAACAATATACTAAACATCGGCAATACTGGTTGCTGACAGCAAAGGCTCAGAGAGCGATATCATACCAGTTGGCTTCTAATACTGCCGGACTTGTGTGCGTTAACTCATAATGTAAACAGACAAATGTCATATTTTTGTGTTTAAGTAGTATTTTAAATAACGATGTTATTGACATTTTTCGTTATATTATTTTTATTTAAAATCGTAAAGACAATGAGTAGTGCACGGAGATCTTCTAGTGGTGACGAATATAATACGCAATGAATTGCGACATATTTTAGAATTTGAAGAGGAGGATGAATAAATGTCTGCAGAATCCAGCGGTGAAGAATATTCAAACAACAGTGATGAGTGGTGTACTGATGACGATTATGAATTGGAATATTTGACATAAGAATTAGCAAATCAAACAACTCCGCAAGTTGAAATGCCCGGTGCTACTACTTCTGGTAGAAATTCTCCTACGTGGGTAGATATAAAAGAACTACAAAAACTTGAATTTCGGAGTCGTCGATAATTCTTGGCAAACCTCGACAGTAACAATCCAATTGATTATTTTACATTGTTACTTGATGAACATTTGCTGCAACTGATTATTACAAACACTAACGAAAATGCTGTAACCATCTTTCTCTCTAAAAACACAAAACAGAAGTCTGGTATTACCTCCTGGAAGGAGCTGACTGTAAAAATTGAAAACTTTTATTAGATTATTATTGCTACCAGGTACCATTTAGTTTTGAAATGGCATGGTTATGCAACATTAAAGGTATGATCCAGCTCCCAAGATTGTTGGTCTACTGGTCCACACACAGGTGTTCAAAACTAATATTTCGAAGTACATGTCCAAAAACAGATTTTTAATAATTATGCGATGCCTTCATTTTGCACCATATGATATTAATAATCAAGATCGTTTACGCAAAATACGTCCTGTATTGGATCATTTCAATAGCAAAATGAAACCAATTCACACTTATTACACACTGTATTAAACTGTACATGTTAACAGAACATGATGGATTGGTTCACAATTGTATCGTTTGCAATGGAGCAGGGGATGAAACCAGCGGTACTGGTCGTACAGAAAAAGTGGTATATATTATGTTAAAGTACAAATACAATCTTGGATGAAAACTGCTTACAAAAGGAACCTATTGTACAGGAATATTACACAAAAATAGAAAAGGTAATCCAGTGCCTGTTGTACAAAAAAAAAATACAAAAAGGAGAGAATAAATCCGTATTTATTACAACGGAGTACACGTGGGAAAGTGGAAGGACAAAAAAGAGGTATTATACTTAACTACTGAAATTGGTAATACAATGACGGAAAACACCAATAAACGAGGTGAAGCAAAGTTGAAACCTACAGCCATTTATGAATATAACAAACATATGACCGTCAAGACCAAATGCTCGCATATTATCCGTGCTCTCGGAAAACTTTGCATTGGTATAAGAAATTGTTTATTTATATACTGCAAATATTGTTACAAAATTCACTAATTTTATACAATAATTATTCAGGACAACCAAGAAAGTCGCTATATAATTTCTTACTATTAATTTTGGAGACTATATTGCCAGAGGGTGGTGTTGAAAATAAAATTGACCTCGAAGAGCAAACAAATTTGAAAGAATAGAGAAAACAATTGAAGCAAATTACGGTACAGGAGATACTTCAAAAAAGGTAAAACGAGTCCTAAGGAAGGAGTCCCTAGTATGCAGGAGGCAAAATAAAAGAAAAGCAACTATTTATGTTTGTAACGTTTGCGCTGGATCAGCTGGTCTTTGTGTTTTTTTAAATACCATTCGCCCTAAGTGATTTAAGTGTTTTATTTTTTGTTTTTTAATGCCATATCGCCAAAAATTACTGTAAATTTGACTTACACCCATGGGTGTAAATTTTCATTATAGTTGCTGGTTACACCCATGGATCTTAATGATCAAGTGTTATGTTTTTTTAATAAACTCACATTTGTAATTCCGTTTTTATTCATTGTAAATATTCAATATAAAAATCAAAAAAAGGTAGGCAGCAAAGATGATACACAAATAATTAACTGGTGGCAATGAACGTGTTAAGCGTTATTTTATTATTATAATTAGTGTATATTACTGTATATCGCACGCGTCTCGAGTCACGCTAAATATGATTTCAGTTCCGTGCAAAAACATCATACAGAGCGATAATAAGTAATCAATTCAATAATTAATTATTTCTAAACTAATGAATTGGTCTACAAAAAAACTGTGCATATTACAATCCTCTCGAGAGATCACTTACATTGATCATTAATAATTCTCCTATTTACAGAAAACCACTACAAGAATATTTTAAAACTTTATTACTAATAATTGTTTATAAAATTTAAATTTCTTAAGTTTGCAATACAATATTGGTAAACTTTGGCCTTTCTGTTAAGGCTACAAAAGTTTGCTTCCACATTTTCTTGGCATGCGTTCTGTTTCCATAACTCTACCAAAGAAACTTGTAAGATATCTCTCATCTCTCCTAATACTGATTTCAAACAACCTTTCAAATGAGCTCAAGCAGCTGATTTAAAGAAATTTTACACTTATAAGGTCTTTTCCCAGGATGAACTCTCCAAATCTTTTCTCAAAGTGTTTAAAACAAATTTCACACTTTATTGAATTTCTTCACTGTGAACTTTCCCATGTTTATTCAAAGACATTTTTTGTGTGAACTGCTTAAAACAAATTTCACACTTATAAGGTTTTTCTCCAGTATGCAATCTCATATGTCGTTTCAAATTAGATGCCCTAGTAAACTGTTTAAAACAAATTTCACACTCGTAAGGCTTTTCTCCAGTGTGCAATATCATATGTGCATTCAAATGGCATGTTCTTATAAACTGCTTAAAACAAATTTCGCACTTGTAAGGCTTTTCTCCAGTGTGTAATATCATATGTAGTTTCAAATCGTATGCTCTTAGAAACTGGTTAAAACAAATTTCGCACTTGTAAGGTTTTTCTCCAGTGTGAACTTTCTTATGTTTTTTCAAATAAGATGTTTTGGTAAACTGCTTAAAACAAAGTTCGCACTTGTAAGGCTTTTCTCCAGTGTGTAATATCATATGTAGTTTCAAATCGTATGCTCTTAGAAACTGCTTAAAACAAATTTCGCACTTGTAAGGTTTTTTTCCAGTGTGAACTTTCTTATGTTTTTTCAAATAAGATGTTTTGGTAAATTGCTTAAAACAAATTTCACACTTGTAAGAAGTTTCTCTAGTGTGCACTGTTTCTATATGTCGTTTTATAGAACTTGCATGGTTAAATCGCTTAAAACAAATTTTACATTTACGAATAGAATTTTTGAACGTTGCTTCTTCAGTGTTTGCACTTATTTGTGGTTCTGTAGCGAATGCAAGTTCTGTTTTCATGGTTTCCATTCTGTTCTGAGAAAAACCTAAAATTAAAATGAAACTATAAAAAATTGTTTATGCAGAAACTGCAGGTTAAAACAAAGAGTAATAAAAATTAATAAGAAGAAATAAAACTAAAATATATCCAAAAGATCTTTTAACTAAAATTTAATTTTTTTGATACATTGAACAATTTAAGGGTTGACAATTGCCATTTTTGCTATATTTTTGAGAATAAATCATTTTTAATTGTTATCATTGTGGTATAGGACACACAGAGATTTTAGAGATTCAAGTTAAATTATATTTTACATTTTTCAACTCCAAATATAAGTACCAGTAGCAGCATCACAATTACATCACCGTTTTTTTTTTTAATCAAAATTGGTATTAAATTTATACTGTTACGATAAAAAATATTATGATTCATAAAAACTGTAGACATATTCTTTCTAATTCTGATATGTTCTAGATTGTCAGCCGTAGAAATTCCATCTAATAGAATCCAGAAGGTCACTACCCGCTTCGAGAAACTCTATACCAGACGAGAAGGCGATCGACTCTTCTAGTCTACCAGGTGAATGAGTATATAACATGATTTTCATTGAAAGAAGTTAGTCAAAAGAAGATATCGCGGTCGGGTACTTTAAATATGCCGCTCGGATATATAAATTATTGTAAGATAAATTAATATAAATAAACTTTAAATAAATTAAATTTGTAAGTGTTATAAATATTGAACCTTTAGGAGAATTAAAATAAGAATAAATTAGAATTAATAAAGACTCAACAATAGGATGGCTTGGGAGAGGACTGAAACTGACAATCTATTTAAAGAAAAACACTATTTGAGATTATTTTAAAACATTATTACTAATAATTGTTTATAAAATTTTAATTTCTAAAGTTTGCACTAAAGTATTGAGAAATTGATAATACAATATAACTTTTGTTTCACTCTTGAGGTCATAAAAGTCTTCTTCCACATTCTTTTGGCAGGCGTCTATTTCCATTATTCTACCAAAGAAACGTCTAAGATATCTCTTCTTTCTTGCAATGCTGCTTTTTTAATTTCTGATGTTAATGTTTAGTCCTTCATTTAGTGTTAGTTTACTAGCATATTATGAAAAATTTAATGATAGAAATAACATTTAAAGTAGTTAAAATGTCGACGAAAAGATCATCTATGTTAGTCGCCAAGGCATACAGTCAAACAGATATCCCTTGAAATTAAAAAAGTTAAAAATTAAAAAAGTTAAAATTAAAAAGTTAGCGCGCAGAAACAAATTTGAAATTGGAGGTCTAGCAAAGCCATTCGTGCTGTAAACGTTATGCAGTGAGGAGCTGGATATTTTTTACACTGTTGCATTGTTTCTTTTACTCACGGTATTTAAATTTAATTTTGTTGTGATTTTACGTTTTGTATTTGTGTATTTTGCTTTACCCATTGTAAAGGTAAGGAAATAATTGTGATATAAAAAAGTAGATGTACCTAAATTAATGTTATTTAATATTATAGCATGGAGTTTAAGAGCAAATTATCCAGACAGGCTGTTAGTAGTCAAAGTCGAGAAATAATTGCTAATGTGTTGGCAAGGATGAAAAAGGAAGCTGAAGAATGTGTTACAATACCTCATCATTGCATAAAAAAATATGTGGCAGCAGCGATAGGTGTTTTCGAAAGTACATCAGTTGAACAAACGAAAACTGAACAAGGCATGTCTACTAGTAAGTATTAAAAAATACTTTTATCTAACCACTAACTTTAAATGTATTTTTAAGTTATGAAACGTTTTATTTTTCATAACTGATGTTTTATTCCATCACTAGTGATCTAATTAAATTTTACGCAACTGCCTAGTCCAGTAGTCAGAGATTTGATCTCTAAAAATCATACGAACAAGTTGCATTATACTGAGAATGTCAATTTTGAGACCCAAAAAAAATGCCTGTAGTGTATACGGATGAAACATACATTCGCTCAACACAATACCAAACGCAAAAGTTGGAGTGATGATTCGAATGAAGGTATTAAGAAACCAACATCAAATGAAAATCGTTTGATTATTGTACATGCTGGTGGTGATTGCGGTTTTGTTCAAGCAGCTGCCTTAATTTTCAAATCTGGTACAAAAACAGGCGACTATCACGACGATATGTCTTTTAAAAATTATTGTAAGGGGTTCAAAAACAAATTAATACCCAATCTAAATCCACCACCAACAGTTATTTCTTATCCAACAAATTAGTTTTGAACGAAGAGAAATCAGAGAAGCAGCAATAGATAAAACAGACTGCACGAAGTTGCTAGGGGTACTTCTACGACAGTAATTGTAAATGGTCAAACCACATTTCTAATTTGAAATCCAGATTAAGTGGCGCATGTTATGCATTGAGAATTCTTTCACGCTTCTTTCATACATCAATATTAAAAACAGTATACTTTGCCCATTTTTACTCAATAGCCAAATATGGCATTGAAGTTTGGGGTTGTACCTCTGAATTAGAGCAGATATTCGTACTTCAGAAAAAAACTATTAGGATAATGTATAAAATGAAATTTAGAGATTCTTGTCGAGGCATCTTTAGACAAAACAATATTCTTACAATTCCTGGTATGTATATAGTTTCTCGTATAATGTATTTACATAGCAAAATTTAAAAATTTAATAAATTTCAATTTAACCATGTTTATTCAACAAGATTCAGAGACAATCACTTTATGCTTCCACAACATCGTTCTGTTTTGTTGGAAGGTAGCATACATTATGCAGCCATAAGTTTCTTTAACAAATTACCAATAGATATATGAATGAATTTACATCAGCCAAACTTTCGGAGGTGCGGCCCAAAATAATATTAAAGATGCAGCAAATAATATTCTAGGGCCAGAAAGACCACCACCACGTAATGACTGGTTAGATGCTGAGTGTGAGGTCATTACAAGAAGAAAAAACGATGTATATAAACTGATGCAGCAAAGAAGAACCCGAGAAAAACAGCAAAATATAAAGATCTCAGAAAAGAAGAGAAGAGCATTCATAGAAGAAAAAAGCGAACTCCCGAAAATAGAATATTGGAAGAACTTGAGGTATTAAAAAAGGAAAACCAAACAAGAAAATTCTACAAAACTCTGAATAACGCAAGAAATGAATTCAAACCAAGGCTCAGACTATGTAAGGATAAGGAGGGGCATATACTAAATACAAAAGAAGAAGTACTAAAAAGGTGGGTGAAACACTTTAAAGAACTACTTACTATAGAAGTAGAAGATCCAGATCCAAATCAACCACCCGCAGGAGCAAGCAACAATTCACCATTAGAGCCTCCGTCAATTCAAGAAGTACGAGATGCAATAAAACACCTAAAAAACAATAAATCTCCAGGAAGTGATGGTATACCCGCGAAACTTATTAAATGTGGAGGTGCTACTGTGACTAATCAAATATATAAAATAATACTGAGAGCCTGGAATGAGGAACAAATCCCGGAAGAGTGGTGTATTGGAATCGTTTGCCCACTACACAAAAAGAGTGACCAATTGGAATGTAGAAAATATAGGGGAATAACCCTCCTTAATACAGCATACAAAATATTTTCGAGGATCTTATATGGTCGCCTAAGTGCATATTCAGAGGAACTTCTCGGGGAATATCAAAGTGGTTTTAGGCCTGGTCGATCAACAACAGATCAGATCTTTGTGCTAAGGCAAATACTGGAAAAAACCAATGAATTCAATATCGATACATACCATCTTTTTGTAGACTTCAAATCTGCCTATGATAGTGTCCTAAGAAATAAATTGTATGAAGCCATGAATGAATTCCACATCCTCGATAAACTGATAAGATTGGTTAAGGCTACAATGCGTAATGTGGTTTGCAAAGTCGAAATACAGGGCGAACAATCACAGGCGTTTGGGACGCATGTTGGGCTGCGACAGGGAGACGTGCTGGCGTGTCTCCTTTTCAACATAGCACTGGAAAAGGCGATCAGCGATGCCCGAATAGACAACAGAGGAAATATTCTTAATAAATCATCCCAAATTTTGGCATATGCAGGTGATGTGAACCTAATTGCCCGCACAACACGTAAGCTAGAAGAAATGTATACCACCTTCTCAAATGCCTCAAAATCTATGGGCCTGCAAGTAAATGAGGAGAAAACTAATATGATGGTATCAACACCCAACAATAGAGTCAGGAACATCGGTCCCCAATTCACAGTTGATAACTCTACCTTTGAAGTGGTGGACAAATTCACATACTTAGGCTCCCTGATCACCAAAGAGAATGCCATAACGGAAGAAATCAAGCGAAGGATAATAATAGCAAACATATGCTATTTTGGACTGAGTAGACATATGAGAAGTAGAAACTTAAGCCAAAAAACAAAAATAACCATATACAAAACCCTTATACAGCCAGTGTTGACATATGGATCGGAGACATGGACCATCTCCAAGGCAGACGAAGACCTTTTGCTTATATTTGAACGAAGGACCCTGAGAGGAATATTTGGTGGCATCTGTGAAAATGGTGTTTGGAGGAGGAGATACAACTACGAGGTATACCACAGATATAAACAAATATTTGGTGGTAACGACGTAGTATCTCTTATAAGAATAGGAAGATTAAGATGGGTAGGACATCTAGCAAGATCACAGCAGAACAACCCTCCTAGAAGAATCTTTATGTTACAACCCGTGGGAAGTAGAAAAAGGGGTAGGCCAAAACTCAGATGGAAGGATGGTGTAGATGAGGATGGTAGAAAGATAGGCGCAGCAAACTGGCAACGGTTGGCAATGCATAGGACTGCCTGGCGTAATAGACTTGGGAAGGTCGAGGCTCTTTCATAGGGCTGTAGTACCATTGATGATGATGATGAAACTTTCGGAGGTGTGTACATCAATACATTTGTGAACTAGAGCCATATTCTAAAAATAACTTTTAAGTATGTTTTATCGTGTTTATTAATTTATATACTTTTAAGATGTATGTCTGTAACTTCATAATAAAGACATGTCATAATTATCTATTGTTTG